TTCCCTTGAGAACGCGAGTGAATAAGATCGCATGCGATTTACAAAGAATCTTTTTGCTCTAGGACTCACACATCACATGTGTCTAACAAGGTCGAGAAAATTCATTTGACTCGGAATTAACTATTATACAGAGTGCGCTTTTTCTTTTTGTTTTCCCTTTGCCTATTTCGCGTCCCTAGTTGCGCTTCATCCACCGGAAAGCAAAGAAAATTGGGAATCAATTTTGCATATCGCATGAAAAGATGCCGGTCAGGCATTGTACCCACGAAGACTGAGAAGGGAAGATGGACTATACGATAGAACCCGTGGAAGCGAGCTTTACTCGGGAAAAATGTGATCGTGCATCCACGGAAAGATTTAATCGAAAACCATGCAGATGAGGTGGAGGCGGATGCCATTCCTAGAGGCAGAGTATGTCCTCAGGCGAACCACACCCGAGTAGTGCCCTGCAGCTGCATCATGACAGCAGGCAAGGGTCTCAAAAGTTCATCATGGCCACTCTTGCAAATGTTCCACGAGGTAGTAGGTGCCAAAGTTGTCAAGTCCAGGAATGCTCGCAAGACCCAGCAAAAAGGTGTCCTTGCCGTCACATAGGCGTCAGGAGCGTGCATCATGGAGAATGTGGAGTAAGTCCATGTTGCAGAGCAGCATTGAGCACCATGTCCATGTCAAGAGTCGAATCCAGTTCATGACAGTCAAGGATCATGTGCAAGCGAGAACGTGCCATCATCATCGTCAAATGCCAGGTTCAGTGCATCGAGATATCAGCGCGCTTAAGCAAAGCCAGAGGCAGCTTGCCTAGCTCTTCCGTGGGTGGTCCTCTCCCCCAATTCGTGATTTTGTCCAAAGAAAACAAGGTGGGCGCTGTGCTGTTGCAAGTCCAGCGGGATGAGAAGGTATCAGTCGTTGAATGGTTCGTAAATGCGCACTGCCATGAGCCTCCATAGTCAACGTGCATGTGCGGTGCTTCAGTATACGTAATGCGAAAAGAGGCATCAAGTCGAGGTCCAAGGCAAGTGATCAATCACATCACACGAGCATGTCCCCTACCGGAAAGGGTGCATGCAAAAACCTCTATGAGGCTCCAGGAGGCGCTGCACCGGGCTGACCGGCCGCACCGCCGCCTTGTTGTTGCTGATAAACGAGGGACTGGTACCAGAGGGCAAGGTAGTTCTGGTATCCACCATCTACAGAATGTTAGTATACGATACCAGTTGCTCGCCGTGTCATTGATAGACTTACATTGCGCATATGGGTCGGCTCCGTCGGCTCCAGCGGGAGCTTGAGCAGCTGGTGGGTTAGCAGATCCTGATGCTGATGGGTTAGATCCCTGTTGAGAGTAGCTTCTATCATAGTCTTGGTTTTGACGACCGCGACCACCGCCACCGCCTCCAGAGTTCTTCTGGCGCTGTTGTCATGTTAGTTACAGTTGGATATACGGTAGAATCGAGGCCTGTCACTTACCACTGCGTCAACCTTTTCTTCAATCGCCTGCTTGGCTCGGGCGATACTATCGCGCGAGCCGATAAGGGCAATCTCGCGCTGAACCTCGCCTGGACCGGAGGACTGGGCAACATTGATCTTGCAACCAGTGCCGTTCTGCATATCACGGATGGTCTCGCCGCCCTTGCCAATAATCATACCCACAGCCTCGGATGGGACGTAGATGGCGTCGTTGATCTTGTCACCGCTGCCGCCGCCCGCTCCACCCATGGGCCCAGAGTCTCTCTGATGACCACCACCGTCGTGTCTCTGCGGCTTCTTGGTGGGGGCTGCAGGTTGGCCCTCGTTTCGGCTGTCGCTATCCACAATCTCCATGATCAGATCCTTGGCTTGGGCAGCTGATTCACGAGAGCCGATGAGGTTGACAGGTCGAAGTCCATTGACACTCTTGGATTCACCAACAATATTGATGTGGCAGCCAGACCGCTCCTGCAAATCGCGAATGGTCTCGCCACCGCGACCGATGATCAGGCCCACGGTTCTATCGGGTACCATAATCTGCATGCAGTCCTCGCCGTCGCGAAGAGCTGCAGCTCCGGCTCCGGCAGCGGCGGCAGCGGCGGCAGCGCTTGCTCCAGGTGGTCCGCCGCGGTGGTCGCGAGGTGGGGGTCCCTTGGGGTTCGCAGCGCCACGGTTGATGGCGCCCATGCCACTATCGTCGATAATGCGGTTGATGGCCTCCTTGACTTCACTGCGCTGTGCCCTGGGACCACTGATCTTGCACTGGCGGAAAGGACCATTATCGCTGGAGGGGAGGAACTGCACCCGACAATTGGACTCTGACTCGATGCGACGAAGGTTTTCGCCTTGTCTACCGATAATGAGACCAACAAGGCTCGACTCAATCTGAATTGTCTCGGCGTTGTCGTCACCACCGCCACTTCCTCTCAGCGGAGATCGCTCTCTGCCGTTAGAGTTGCGAGGAGAGAAAGTGCGACCACGCGGGCCAGGGCTGTAGGATCGCTCGCGGTGACCATAGTCTCGTGGAGCAGGGCGATCGTCCCGGCGCTCGTCTCTGTAGGGGTTGAAGTTGTCGCGGAACTGGTCGCGACGGTTGGAAGGAGAGCGCGACCGCGAGGATCGGCCGTAGGCTCTAGAATCCTGGCCGCGGGGGGCTTCGTTGGAGTAGACGAGGGGTCGGTCGTAGGATGCCACGCCCTTCTCAGCAGCGAAGGCCTTGGCTTGCGCGATGGCATCGGCGATGCTGACTGTGCCAGAGTTGACGGGTCGGATAGAGCTAAGATCCAGACTGCCGCTGGATGTAGGCTGGGGAAGTCCCGGGTAGCCACCGCCGCCGCCGTACGGGGGCGCGTTCTGCTGGGGCATCGGGGGGTAGGAAGGAGGCGGCTGGCCACCGGGAGGAGGATAGCTAGGCGGCATGCCGGGCTGTCCTTGGGTCGGCGTCGAAGATGTGCCTCTTTGTGCTGCGCCTGAATGAATAAATGCGATCAGTCTGTGTTCGAGGGTGCAGAAACAGATTCGTGTCGTGTCTCGGGTACCTACCTAGGGCAGCGAGGATGGAGGAGATGTCACGAGGTGGTTCGGCCATTGTGGCTGTCGCGTATGCAGAATGCAGGGCGCGATCGAAGGTCAGATCGTGACTTGTCAAAGAAGAGAAAAGAGTGTCTGATCGTGTCGGAGGGCTGAAGACTTTTTGCGCGCAAGAGGAATTTTCAGCGCGGCCTAGAAATGAGTCGGGTTGATTCCGAGAGTGGGTTTGATCAGGTGACAAGGATGTGTGTCAATGCCAGCAATCACAAAATGAGGTCGCAAATCGGTCTCTGGACAATCACGGCCTTGAATTAAGGTGAGTCGCGAAGGATTCTCAGGTGTTGTCAGCTTGTCAAGATGTGCTAGGGCAAGCCGTGGTGGCACTGGTAGGAGATGTGATAGCGAGGTTTGAGTTTGGCGAGACCGCCTGCCGAAAACAGATTGCTCCTTGCTACGCAGCGTGGGTTGAGCTGTGAATATGATGCGCAAGGTCGGGCAGGGGCAGGAGGCTGGAAAGTGGCATGGATCCTGTGAAAAATGGGTGTGTCGGAATTTTGTTCTTCCTGTGCTTGACCGTGCTTAACCTGGAAGGCACGTCAGGCAGGTCCAAGTCGGGTCTGGGCCCATCACAGTCCAAACACGTGACAAAGGGATGGAAAGTTGGACTTGGGTCCGCAATTGTGGCACAGGCAAGCACAGTAGGTCAAGCCACTCTTCACAGTTCTCTGAAGAAGGTATGTCGTCACCGTAGAAGGTTGGAAGCCATGGGTGACTGCGCATCTGACGTGCAATCTTACTAGCCAACAAGGCGGTGCTAGGATGACTGAGACTGGAGAGTCTCGTACAGAGAGTTTTCAGGTGAGTTTGCAAAAATGCAGACTAGAGTGACTGGCTCAAGGCGCAGCTGAAGCAAGTCATGCCAATGCAATGCGAGACAGTTGGACGAAGCCGACTGACTTGTTGCAGCAATTATCAATAATGATGTAGTTCACTGTTAGACTGCAACAAACTTTACACACATCTCGTGTAATAACATGGTAGACTGAATGAGGAAGGCCCACGATATATATTATACACAGACCTGACCGTGAATGATTCTCTCATTTGGAGGAACAGATGCTTTCTGGACCAAAAATCGCAAGCGCCGGCCTCATGGCTGGCAGCCATGAATTCTGTAGCGAAGCGCCCATCGCCGCAGAGCGCGGGCCACCGTCGGCCAATCAATCCTTGCCAGCGTCAAGACTTGAGACGACCCCACAGAAAGAAGGAAGGAGTGACAGAGCGTGGGAGCTTGGATGCACAGGGCAAGTGCGAACTTCTTGTTTAGTGGAGCCACTGCCAATTGCCGCAAGACTCCAAGTTCCATGGACTTCCCTGAATGGTACCTGAATGATCTCGCGAAGAAGGGGCAATGGCACAGAAATGCAACTTGGAAGGCGACCTCAATGACCAATCTCACCCTCACCATCTCTGACTGCGCCTGCGCCTCTCATGGGCAAGAGGGGGCCAACGTCGGAAAAGTCAGGAAAGAAGCAGTGGAGGCCATCCTACGTTGCGTTCCTTCCTTGCCTTCTTGCCTTCTAACTCTTCTTCTTATCTGTGCCTGAAGAAAATGACCGGCCAATGCCATTAAACGAACATTCCTGGGATGCCACGATTTGTGGGATTTCGACAAGCTTTTCCTACCGTCTGACCAAGATCAGCCTCCAAAAGACCGTTCCTGTCGTAAACCGGTTTTTAGCATTCCGCGGTGGTCGGTGGCAAAGGCTTGGCATCGATCATTGCTTGTTGCTCAGCAAGGACCCCAAGGACAGACGACGAGCAACAACCAGTCACGAATCACAACACCAAGAAACCCATCTAGGGTCCATATCCACTCTTTTACCATTATCCTATCCAATTCCCGGCCATTCTTGCCATATGCTTACAAGGATTAGACGTTAGCGGCGAGAGCCGAACTGCTCTTTTCTCACGACGATTGGACAAAGTGTTTGGCAATACCTCCAGGGATCCCCTGCTGGCGCCAGCCATCCGCCGTCTCTTTTCGTCTGCTGGCTGACGATCTTTGCTCTGTTCCTGCTTCGCTCGCTGCGGTCCCTCACATCCTCTCCCCGGTCACCGTGACCCTTCGTGCAGTTTCCGAGAGAAAACCACACAAACCTCGCGACATCCCCGGATGCCTCCAGCAAATCCAGAATTGTCCAGACCAGCCTAACCAGGCCAACTCACCGTTTCTCCGCCCGCAACGGCACCAAACCCGTCCATGCCTCCTCCGCCGGGCACAGCCACCGGTAACCACCTGGTCTGCTGGCGTGACTCGCGACGGGGATGCCACTGGAGCGGCGCCGTTCACCTGGCGCCAGAACGGTACCTTATCCTTACGAGGTGGCACGGGTGGGAGGCTCTCCGCAATAATCCCCCAGTCTTGCCAATGACGTCGCAGCGCATTCTTGTCGTGAGCTCTCTGGATCAACCCGAGCCTATGAGCGAGACCAGGTTGTGTTAAAATGCCTTCTATCCTCTGCGACACCCCCGGAAAGGCGACTTTTGGAAAGATGGGCACCATTCAACAGTTGCTCCGTGGTGTCCCCTTGTTCAGTGACTCAAATCTCGACTTGTATATCACTCTCGAGTTCGCCCCCATTCATGAAGCCACCAACTGTTGGCCTGACTTGAGTAGGGCTATAGCTCTTGTGATACTGCAACTCAGTTTCACTCAGCAAGTTTCAAGCAAGAGTCTCATCGTTCGATAAGACCTCATTGTAGGAGCAACAAAATTCTACCTCACAACTCCTCACTCTCGCCAAGCGATCACATATCCAGCGCTCAGCTCTCAGCTCTCACCTCACACCCAGCCCTGGCTTCGACAAGACGGATCGAGTCTATCGTAACAGGGCGTAACGTCATCCGATCTAAATACGGGCAACACGACATCAAATCTCAAGAGCCCCATTTCGGCCTCCGAAAATATCGCCTTGCCTTAGCAGCGTTTGGGCAGCCGCTCATCGTGACCCCGGACGACAGATTTGGTTGGCTGAGAGCGTCCGTTGAGCGCGCTTAGAAAACGAGCCTCGCCCAGATCCCCATATCCACCCTCACCGGGTGTCGCCAAACGAAACAAAGATTTGGGCCAAGTCGAGGTAATTTCCCTTCAAGGCCACGGCCAAAGGGCCCATTGCTGGCTTTCTTTGGCATTGTGGTGTGAATAAGGTAAGCCGCCTTTGTTTTCTTTTCTCGACTTTGTTCCTATTGTTGCGCGCCTATTGCTAGGTGATCCTGTGGACCTGGCCGTGTTAGTCGGCTTCCTTTTTATTATGCGTATTGCCCAGTCATTCCCATCCTCTCTGGTCTCTGTCGTCCTTCCAAGTCATCCTCGTCCTGTGTATCCATATCTTCTCCCGAAAAAAGATACCCCACAATGAATGGATAGAAGCTTGTTCAGAAATCAGTGCTTGACGAGTTTCCTTTGTCGCTCTCTTTCCTTCCTCACTTTTTCCTCTTTCCCTCTTCGTGTCGAGTGATTCACCTAATTTCATCACCAAACTCCAACGATTAATTTTTCCTCGACGTCGACCGCCGTTCTATTTGCTTCATTTCTTGCATTCGCCTTTTTTCTTCCTCTTATTTTATCATTCATTTTTCTCTGCTGGCTCAGAAATACTCGCATCGGCTTCTTACATTCTTCGATAGAATCAACATGTTTTCCTCACGGAATCGCAAGGAGGAGGCGGCCTACCCGGCCGTCCCCGACTCCCTCAGGTCGGACTCGCTAGAGATGGCGGAACTTAGAAAGACGCAACAAGCGCGAGCCGACACTTCTCCCACCATAACACCATACCTTAGTCTCTCAGCTAGGCTCTCTCAGATCTGGCTAAACCGCTGGACGATCCTACTATTGCTCGTACTTCTCAGAGTCATCTTGCTCATCGCTAGCCTCAACGATAATGTCGACGACGCGAATCAAAAAGCACTCTCTGCTTGCACAAAGGTCGAAGATATTGGCAGCGCCATGGCCTCGATGCCTCACTATCTCTCTGTCGGTGTCAACGAGCTGTCGGCAAAGGGCATCGAGAAGACCCTCGACGGCATGGTTGCTGCTCTGGGTCTGATACTCACTGGTGTTCAGAATCTCATCATCTTCGTCATCAACATGATGACATCGATGTACACCTGTCTTATCACTGCCTTCATCCATGGCGGCCTTGATGTTGCCTCCGACGTTACCAAGAAGGTTACCGACGCCATGAACAAGGTGGTTGGCGACATCAGCAATACAATCGATTCTAAGGCTAAGAGCCTCTCTGATGGTATCAATAAGGCCGTGGACGCAATCGAAAACTCTGTCCTTGGTAGCGTTCTGCCCGACTTTCCCAAGGTCGACTTCTCGGGGCCTGTCAACGACCTGCGCGACATCAAGATCGACTCCAGCGGCTTCGTCAGCGACATCAACAAGCTCAACGATGACCTGCCTACCTTTGAGGAGGTTCAGAACTTGACGGCTCAGGCTATCTCGTTCCCTTTCAACCTGCTCAAGCAGACCGTCAACGACGCCTACAAGGGCTACAAGTTCGATCGATCAGTCTTCCCTGTCGCCCAGAAGCAGGCGCTGCAGTTCTGCTCGACCAACAACAACATCTCCGACTTCTTTAACAACCTCCGCGACATGATCCAGAAGGCTCGCATCATCTTCATTGTCGTTCTCTCCATCTTGGCTGTGCTGGTCATCGCACCCATGGCCTGGCTGGAGATCAGGCGCTGGAGACGCGAGCGAAAGCACGCTCAGATCATGGCCAGCCACCAGTACGACTCGATGGATGTGGTCTACATTGCTTCCCGCCCAATGACCGCTACCTGGGGCATTAAGATTGCTTCCAAGTTCAAAGGCCGTTGTCAAATCTTGGTCCGCTGGGCCATTGCGTACGCTACATCACTACCTGCTCTATTTGTCTTGGCCCTTGCCATTGCTGGCTTCTTCTCTTGCCTGTGCCAGTACGTCCTGCTCAAGGCTGTCGAAAGAGAGGTACCCGCCCTTGCCAACCAGGTCGGCGAATTTGCCGGCGAAGTCGTCACCTCGCTACAGGATGTCTCCAAGCAGTGGGCTGATGATGCCAACGGTGTTGTGCTATCAACGCAGAACGAGATCAATCAAGACATGCTCGGCTACGTCACCAACGCTACCTCGGCTGTCAACGACACGTTGAACACATTCACCAACACCATGACGACTGGTTTGGAGACTGTATTCAACGGTACCATCCTCATCAATCCCATCAAGGACGTTATTCGCTGTACTATTGGTCTCAAGGTCGAGGCTGTCCAGAAGGGACTAACTTGGGTCCACGATCACTCGCAGATCTCGTTCCCTCTCTTCGACAACGACACATTCAGCCTCGGGGCTCAAGAGTCCATCTCGGGCGACTCAGACCTCAAGACCTTCCTATCGTCACCTTCAAGTGTGTCAACCGACGAGGTGACTGGCGCCGTGACTCATGTTACCGATATGCTTCGTCGAGGCATCATCAAGGAAGCGCTCATCTCTACCGGCATCCTTCTCGTCTACGTCATTGTCGTCCTCATCGGCATCATCCGCGCCTTGGTTGGCATGGCCATGCCCGACAAAGGCCGTGGTGAGGGCGGGTTGCGCTACACCGGAGACGACCGCCCAGCCATGAGCCCGCGAAGCCCTCCCAGATCCCATGGCAACGACTCCCGCTTCCCACAGTTCGGTAGCGATGCATCTGCCGTGGATGATGACCACTACTCGGGCATGCGAGATGAGAAGGCCCTGAAGAAGACGAGCGTGCAGAGCGGCAGGGCGCAGCCGACGGAGGGTCATCAACGACAAAGTTCGTATGGACACCTCGACACAGCATCATCAACCAAGTTTTAGAATGGTATCTACGAAGTATTGACAAGAGAAAGACTAAAAGACCAAAAAAAACACAAAAAGAAAAAGACAGAGGTTGGAGACCTTGATACCTCCGGCCTGGGCTGGACCGAACGCCGAGAGATACCCCTCATTTACGACAGGTCTGAAAGAGATAACACGAAGAGCATGATATTCGGGCGTTGAAGCATGATTATCAGGTATACTTCAAATTTTGATGGAACGGGAACGGAATGGAGAGGGAATACTTCAAAAAGATACCAACGGCTCAGTCGCCGCACCGTTTGTTTTCGATTCTATAACGGATCTCATTTTTTGCGCTCTGATTGACACCAGTCATCAAACTTTTTCATTCTCTAGAATGAACTTTTGAGTATGCAGCAGCGTCACCGACTGCCAGAATGTCTACTCGGTATATACGTCTAGGTAGTTCAAGATTGAATATACTGCTAGCTGCAACCAAACACTCTATTCCGTGTTCCCTGATAGCGTAGCCGCTGCGGAGAAGTGAATGACTGATACCGGCCAGTGGCACAACCACAGCCCCGAGCGGTATTGCCGCATCTAAGGATCCGATTGTCATGATCATCGCCGGGAGTAAGCGGCGATGATAGTGACTGGTAAGTGCGGCGGCGGCGGCGACGACAAAGACGTTGTCATCTGATCGTCTTCAATCCTACGAGGCACCTGAACCTTCTCTGATAAAACTTCAACCGCTACCAATATCATCTGCCTCGGTGACATGTTCCGCGGTTTCTTGAGGCAGCTCCGTTGCCCTCTGACCAATATCACCATGACTTGCGGAGATGAACAGGCGTCGTGGGAAATTTGATATCTGATCAAGGAGACAGAACAGACTTTCGGGACAATTGGACCGAGTAACGGGAGCCCCCACGACAAGGCGGGATGTCACGAAAGAGCCTCATGAATGGGGTTCCCGATACGAATCTCATGGTATGGTGTCGCGTGTGTGTCACGAGGGTAAGGCACGGCGAGATTAAAATCCCATGTTTTGTTTGCCTGCCGGTGCGGGCAATGTTGGTGGAAGGTGGGGCGCGGATTGCTATGGCGGATGGCAAAAGTGGAGACTCGGGGAGTCTGGAATAACCTCTTTTGGGCATCTCCGCCCCGCCCTCCGACCGACTTTCTGGGGCGTCATCGTCCAGGGACTCCCGGCCCCACACCCGCCACTCTCTTTTGATGGGAACCGATGCCGGATGGTCGGCTTGTTTGTTCATGGTTTGAGCGATCTGAGTGGTTCAGGGCCTCGGTTCAGGGTTCTTTTGGACTCCAAGATTTGCCTTTGCTGAAGTGCCTAGCATCTTCGTTTCGGTGCCTGTACGGATAGGTACCTCATGCCCTTGAGGCTCAAAGGGAGCATTCCGGGGTATCGATCGGTGTGACTGTTGCAGGCCGTCCACCTTGGCGGACGATGAGCGGGCAGTCCATATAGCGGTTGAACATGGTCGTTTCCAGGGCTGCCCTGGGGGAAAACATAGATCCCAATCGCCCGGTGTTCTGCCCACTTCCATGGTATAGATACGGGGCTTTTAGGCACGGGAGAGGTGCTGAACACAGCTACAAGCAGCTGAATCGGGTGGACACAGGGCACGTCGGAGCTCCCGTCCCGTTGGAAGGTTCCTTTTTCACACCGTCCCGCCCCTTGGGCAGTGGCCGCTGCTGCTCCGACCGCAAGTTGTCCAAGGGAAACCGGCGCCCGCCCCAAGAGTCATTCCATTGCTCCTCCCCCACGTCTGAGATCATTAAGTACCTTTTTTCCCAGTTGAATTTCTTCCCCTTCGCCCCTACTTAAAACTTACTACCACCTTCAACCTTTCTCACATCTCAAGTTTTTTCTTGTGATACCAAAAAACCCCAGCGAGTCAAAAGTTGTTCTTTTACCCATATACCCCCTACCAATTGACTTTGTTGTTTCCTTCTACTCTCTATACCACTACACAACATGGAAGGCATTCGCCAAACGTTTGCGCGCTGCAAGGCCCAAGGAAGGGTGAGTCTTTTGCCCCTCCCACGTTGCTGTGCTGCCCCTGTTGCGATCGCGGGGCTCTTCACCCCGCCGCGCCGCCGACCGCTCCCAACGACGATGGTTTTCCGGCACCGCCAAGATCTCGCAGCAACGACGGGATAGATGATCAATTGGACTGGTCTGACATTGTTATGAAATAGTCTGCGCTCGTTACCTACGTCACTGCTGGTTACCCCACGCCTGAGGACACTCCTAATGTTCTGCTGGCTATGGAGAAGGGTGGCGCTGGTAAGTCCCTCCAAGAACTTTGTGCACTGGTAAAGGAACACCTCACTGACACTCTCAACAGATGTGATCGAACTCGGTGCCCCCTTCACCGACCCAATTGCCGACGGCCCGACTATCCAGACATCAAACACCGTGAGTAGTGGCCAGAATGGAAACCAATTGGGTATATAGTGAATACTGACGAGGGAAAACAGGTGGCTCTGCAACATGGCGTCACGATCGAGTCAACACTCAAGATGGTCAAGGACGCTCGCGACCAGGGCCTGAAGGCGCCTGTGATGTTGATGGGATACTACAACCCCCTTCTCAGCTATGGCGAAGAGAGACTCCTGAACGACTGCAAGACATCGGGCGTCAACGGCTTCATTGTTGTCGATTTGCCTCCCGAGGAGGCCATCTCTTTCCGCAAGCTTTGCACCAAGGGAGGGTACGTTCACACACCGCCTCTAACCACCTCGGTCATCCCGTACTGACGAACTGAAAACAAACAGACTTTCATACGTTCCCCTGATTGCTCCCGCAACCTCAGATGCCCGCATGAAGATCCTTTGCAAGCTGGCCGACTCCTTTATCTACGTCGTCTCCCGCCAGGGTGTCACCGGTGCCCTTGGCTCCATGAACGCCAACCTCCCCGACCTTGTTGCCCGCGTCAAGAAGTACAGCGGCAACAAGCCTGCTGCCGTCGGTTTCGGTGTCAGCACCCGAGACCACTTCCTCAGTGTCGCCCAGCTTGCCGACGGTGTTGTCGTCGGCTCCCAGATCATCACCACCCTCCAAAAGGCGGCCCCCGGCGAGCTCTACAACGACGTTGCAAAGTATTGCTCTTACCTCTGCGGCCGCGACTCTGATGAGACTACCCGCGAGGTTGGCATGGTCGAGGCCATGGCCGCCGCCAAGCAGCCCACCGAAGAGCCTACCGTCGACGACCGCATCACCGCCGACCAGGACAGTGAGCTTGTTGCCGAGCTCGCTGCCATGCACGGCAAGATCCCTGACCGCTTCGGCGATTTCGGCGGCCAGTACGTCCCCGAGTCTCTCATGGACTGCCTGTCTGAGCTCGAGGAGGGCTTCAACAAGATCAAGGACGACCCTTCCTTCTGGGAGGAGTACCGCTCCTACTATGAGTACATGGGCCGCCCCGGCCACCTCCACCTTGCCGAGCGCCTTACCGAGCACGCCGGCGGTGCCAACATCTGGCTGAAGCGTGAGGATCTTAACCACACCGGTTCTCACAAGATCAACAACGCCCTTGGCCAGCTGCTCCTCGCCAAGCGCCTCGGCAAGACCAAGATCATCGCCGAGACCGGTGCCGGCCAGCACGGTGTTGCTACGGCCACCGTCTGCGCCAAGTTCGGCATGGAATGCACAGTCTACATGGGTGCCGAAGACGTCCGCCGCCAGGCTCTTAATGTCTTCCGCATGAAGCTCCTCGGCGCCAAGGTTGTCGCTGTCGAGGCTGGAAGCAAGACCCTCCGTGACGCCGTGAACGAGGCCATGCGCGCCTGGGTTGTCGAGCTCGACACCACTCACTACATCATCGGTTCCGCCATTGGCCCGCATCCCTTCCCCACTATCGTCCGTACCTTCCAGTCTGTCATTGGTAACGAGACCAAGGCGCAGATGCTCGAGAAGAGAGGCAAGCTGCCAGATGCCGTCGTCGCCTGCGTTGGCGGTGGTAGCAACGCTGTCGGCATGTTCTACCCCTTTGCCAACGACCCCAGCGTCAAACTCCTCGGTGTTGAGGCCGGTGGCGACGGTATCGACACTGCCCGTCACAGTGCCACCCTTTCCGGCGGCAGCAAGGGTGTCCTGCACGGCGTCAAGACCTACATTCTCCAGGACAAGCACGGCCAGGTCGCCGAGACGCACTCCATCTCCGCCGGTCTGGATTACCCTGGTGTCGGCCCCGAGCTCAGCTCCTGGAAGGACAGCGAGCGCGCCAAGTACGTCGCCGCCACCGACGCCGAGGCCTTCATTGGTTTCCGTCTCATGAGTCAGCTGGAGGGTATCATCCCCGCGCTGGAGTCAGCGCACGGCATCTACGGTGCCATTGAGCTCGCCAAGACGATGAAGAAGGGCGAGGATATCGTCATCTGCCTGAGTGGCCGTGGTGACAAGGACGTGCAGAGCGTCGCCGACGAGCTGCCCAAGTTGGGCCCCAAGATTGGCTGGGACCTGCGCTTCTAAACATGGGGAGCAATGGTTAAGGGGCGGAACGGAATTTACGAATGGCATATCACACATTGCAGGGCGTATGAGGCGAAACTTGCACTTTTCACGGCTTGTGGTTTCAAAATATGGAAAGCGGTTTTTGTAGACACAAACAAGAAAAGGGGGCTCATCTTCTAGACTTGAGATCCTCTAAAAAGTAGTTTGATGACATGAGAATTTTGTACATATGATACAATGACTTTTTTTTCTCTCCCGAAACATACACTCTCTCTTCCTCTAACAAGTGACCATCACCCAACTCAAAAATCATATCCTCTGCTCAGTGACAGGCTCTCCGATACCAGGCACATGAACGTCCTCGTACCCCTCGCCATCCTCAGCCCCAAACTCGGCCTCCTCGCCCAGCGTAAACTCTTCCAAAATCATCTGCGCAGCTCTCTTCTCGAGAATCCCCCTGCTGACAGCGCTCAGGGGCCCCGGCGTAGCAGCATCGACCATGACGGTGACCAAATCCGTCTGATCCTCCCTCATCTCCCCCTCGACGCCGAGCTTCTCC